GTGTACTTATCAAAATTAATTGTCCCCACACAAATTTGTGCACAAATGTTCATAGCATTATTAATAATGGCCAAAAAGTCAAAATCCAAAGTCTATCAGCTGATGAATGGGTAAACAAAATGTGGTATATCCATACAATGGAATATTATTTGGCAATAAAAGAAATGAAGTATAGATACCTGTTATAACATGGATAAACCTTGAAAACATTATGCTAACTGAGAAGAAAGAAGCTAGGCAATTCCATAGAGACAGAAGGTAGATTAGTGATTGCTCTGGGCTGGAGGCAGTACACTTTTTGAATTCCACGGTACTGTATGTGAATTATACTTCTATAAAGTTGTCATTTAGGCTGGGCACAGTGGTTCATGCCTATAATCCCATCACTTTGGGAAGCCAATGTGGGTGGATCACTAGGCCAAGAAATCGAGACCATCCTGGCCAACATGGTGAAACCTCATCTCTACTAAAAAAAAAAATACAAAAATTAGCTGGGCATGGTGGTGCATGGCTATGGTCCCATCTACTCGGGAGGCTGAGGCAGGCTGAGGTAGGAAAATCATTTGAACCCAGGAGGCAGAGGTTGCAATGAGCCAAGATTGCACCACTGCACTCCAGCCTGGCAACAGAGCCAGACTCTGTCTGAAAAGGAAAAAAAAGTTGTCATTTAAAAGAAAATAGGCCAGCCTGGTGGCTCATGCCTGTAATCCCGACACTTTGGGAGGCCAAGGTAGGTGGATCATAAGGTCAAGAGATCGATACCATCCTGGCCAACATGGTGAAACACCATCTTTACTAAAAATATAAAAATTATGTGGGCGTGGTGGTGCGTGCCTGTAGTCGGGAGGCTGAGGCAGAAGAATTGCTTTAACCCAGGAGGTGGAGGTTGCAGTGAGCTGAGATCATGCCACTGCACCCCACGCTGGTGACAGAGAGAGACTTTGTCTCAAAAATAAATAAATAAAAAAAAATAAGGCTGGGTGTGGTGGCTCACACCTGTAATCCCAGCACTTTGGGAGGCCGAGGTGGGTGGATCACAAGGTCAGGAGTTTGAGACCAGCCTGGCCAACATAGTGAAACCCCATTTCTACCAAAAATACAAAAATTAGTCAGGCATGGTGGTGTGCACCTGTGGTCCCAGCTACTCGGGAGGCTGAGGCAGGAGAATCACTTGAAACCGGGAGGCAGAGATTGCAGTGAGCTGAGATCGTGCCACTGCATTCTAGCCTGGGCAACAGAGTGAGACTTCGTCTCAAAAAAAAAAAAAAAAAAAAAAATTGTCCCCTTGCAGACAGCATGATATTATGAAGTGTTTTTGGAAAAGTGCTTCACAGCTAAAGAGTAGAGTGTAAGAGTTCGTTAGTGTATCTTAAGGAAAACAATGTGTGTCTGAAATGATATAGTGTACAGTACAGGAAATAGAGCTGTTACTGAGCTATAATGTGGACTTGGTTCTACTATATCTCTATTTTTTCTGTTTTGTGTGTCTGTGTATGCATGTACTCCAGAGTCTAATTTTGATTTAATTTCCAAAAATGTATGCATTGCTTTAACAATACATGTAATGTGTCATATTACAGATGGGGTCACAGTGGTTATAAAGAGTTATACCCTGAAGAATTTGAAACAGACAGGTAAGGAAAATAGGCTTAATAAAAGAAACTAAGATGGTACAAAATCTGTACTAGGAAGTGATTTCCTAACTTTTACAAAGAATATACCTCCCATTGAAAATGTAGCTAGAGCTGGGCGTGGTGGCTCAAGCCTGTAATCCCAGCACTTTGGGAGGCCGAGGGGGGTGGATCACGAGGCCAAGAGATCGAGACCATCCTGGTCAACATGGTGAAACCCTGTCTCTACTAAAAATACAAAAAATTAGCTGGACATAGTGGTGCGTGCCTGTAATCCCAGCTACTCAGGAGGCTGAGGCAGGAGAATTGCCTGAACCCAGGAGGCGGAGGTTGCGGTGAGCCGAGATCGTGCCATTGCATTCCAGCCTGGGTAACAAGAGTGAAACTCTGTCTCAAAAAAAAAAAAAAAAAGAAAATGTAGCTAGAGAAACAATAGGTGATTTAGTTAGGATGTGACCCCTGTTTTGCCATTCTCTGGTTGATGTTTGACATGTCTATAAGCATTTTGATTTTTATATATAGTATTCCATACAGTAATTCAGTATGGCAGCTTAGAATTTTTATCTCCATTTTAAAGATGAGGAAACAAAATCTCAATCAGAATATTAAAGTGTTGGCTGGGCTTAGTGGCTCACGCCCATAATCCCAGCACTTTGGGAGGCCGAGGCGGGTGGATCACGAGGTCAAGAGATTGAGACCATCCTGGTCAATATGGTGAAACACCGTCTCTACTAAAAATACAAAACATTAGCTGGGCATGGTAGCACGTGCCTGTAATCCCAGCTACTCAGGAGGCTGAGGCAGGAGAATTGCCTGAACCCAGGAGGCGGAGGTTGCGGTGAGCCGAGATCGCGCCATTGCACTCCAGGCTGGGTAACAGGAGCGAAACTCTGCATCAAAAAACGAACAAACAAACGAAAGAATATTAAAGTGTTAAAGTATAGGTTAAAGTGCTGATTTAAAATTCAGATGTTAACTTCAATTTTTATCTAGAATGCAAAATATTAAAATATGTACTTTTTCTTTTTTTATATAAAAGCTTCTCTTTTTTACTTTTTTATTAGTAGTGATCAGCAAGATATTACCAATGGGAAAAAAACATCTCCCCAGGTAAAATCATCTACCCATGAATCCCGCAAACACAAGAAGTCAAAGAAATCCCACAAAAAAAAGCAGAAAAAAAGGTCACATAAAAAACAGAAGAAAAGCAAAAAGGAAGCCATGGATATAACAGCAGATTCCTCAAGCGAGCTCTCAGAAGAAACTGGGGCTTCCAGTACAAGGCAAAAGAAACAACCGCATAAGCGCAAGAAAAAATCCAGGAAAAAGTCTCTCAAAAAACCTGCTTTATTCTTAGAGGCAGAAAGTAACACTTCCCATTCAGATGATTCAGCATCCAGCAGTTCTGAGGAAAGTGAGGAAAGAGACACTAAGAAAACCAAAAGGAAAAAGAGAGAGAAAAAAGTCCATACCCCTGTAGCCAACAATGAAATACAAGAGAGGACAAACAAACGCACAAATTGGAAAGTGGCTACAGATGAAAGGTCTGCTGAGAGCTCAGAGGATGACTAAATGGGAAACATTTTTGTTTTCCACATGACTGTGGATATTTACAGTTCTTACTCCTTGTGGTTTTGCAAGTGACTCTTGTTCAGCACTGGGGCCAGAGGTCAGAGCTATCTTGTGCCATCTATATGTTCCAAGAGACTTCTTGTCTTCTATTTTGGCGTTAAGCTTGATCCCCTTTTCTTGTTAAAAGGGAATCTGGTATTTTGTTATGAAGGTTTCTCGAAAAGATTATTTTTTGCAGTTAATTACATTTAGTATAGAGCACATATACAGCAAATTAAAGGACCCAGAAAGCTGGATCCAGTGGTAACCTGGGTACACCAATCGGAATATTGAATTTGGGAAAGTCAAGGGCTGGGATCAAGAGGTGGATTGGAACTAATGCTGTGTAGGATGGTATGACAAGGCAACACTATATTGCTCTTTGTTTATATAGCAGGTATCACAACTGACTTGTCTTTAGCCTTGGTGCTTTGATCCTTCTGTATTTTGACCCTACAGGTATGGTCCAGTTTACTTAATCAGGAAATGGGCCTAAGAACAAACATTTTCTTTTCATGGTAACATCCATAGACAACTTATTAGAAGGGACTAGTTTCCTCAAATTTCCCTGCTGGACAGGGCCTACAGCTGTACTTAGTATACCCCTAAACATTGTAATTGGATAGTAAATGGTTTTCTAGCTCCATTGCTGTATATTTGCCTAAATGGACTTGTGTTCAAATTATTTCTTCAGTTGTCATAGATAATCCTTCACCAAATGGGGAAGAATTAGGAAATAGTCATGTTGTCTTATGGTACTCTGGATTCAGGGCAGCAACTGCCATTTAAATGTTGTCTTGTTAATGACCTTTAGGTTTTCCCTGAAACTAAGTTGAATTATTTCCAAAATGAAACAGGCTTCTCAGGGACATACCCACTTCTTCCCAGTCCGCCTTTGGATTAAAGCACCAAGCAGAGACCACGTTATTTCCCTTCACTATACCGTGATCCTTATTATGTTAATTCTTAAGAAGCCAAAATGTCACTGAAAGAAGGCTCACAGAACACAAGTGCATTTTTTCACTACGGGAAGAAAGATCAAGTGACATATTGTTATTTTTTCTTGATTGTCACTTAATGGGCTGAGTAAAAAGCTTGAAAACTCACTTTTGATTTTGGTTCTGCCACTAATTGGTTACGAGGAGGCCCAGAGGAGGTAAATTCACCTTCCTGGCCTTACTTTCCTGATGTGTAATTCAGAGTTAATTCACGGTAGCATGACAGTATAAGACACCAGCAATAGATACAACTATGATGACATTCCATGAGGTGGTATTTTTAGTTCTAACTACTAAATTTGTCCTCTTTATGGGACAGATTTCTAGTAAAGTGCTTGGGCTTAGAATACATGGTTGGACAGAGGTGCCCAATCCCTTAACTATGAGCAGGTGCTACCTTTTGGGATATTTATTTGAAATTTTAATACTTTGGTACTCAGTTGTCAATGTTCCATGGTGTGTATTTTTATTTTTGGGATTAGTGGGGGCCTAAAAGGAGGGGAATAGTCTATAATTACTACCTCTTAATCTAAAACAGTTATTTTGTTCCTGGAGCAAGTTAAATCTTTGTCAGGAGTTTTGGCCATGTATTTTTTAGCATGCATTGTTTCTGTGCTCTGAAAGTACTGATTTTAAGCACAGATTCAGGAAAATGGGCCAATAGAATAGGCCATCTCCAGGATATTGGCTCTATTTGGTTCATCTTCCCTTCCGCCCATGCTAGCAAGGAATACACATCTTGCCTTTTTTTTTTTTTTTTCCATGTTAATCTTTTCTTGGTCATGTATAAGCAATAAAGCTGTTTTTTGTTCTTAATCTTTCTCAACCCCCGATTTTCTATGCCTTAGGCTTTGATGGTTCTTCCAACCCCCTTAATATGGGTTAGGGTGGCTTTTCAAAACCTACAATCCCCCATTTGCACTACTGGCCATGGAACATTTATTTCTAGTGTTCCTGCCAATCAGAGATCTCTATGTTCTAAAATGGGATTAAAAGAATAGTTGGAGAATTCACATTTATTAAATATGTGATACAGACTGGAATTTCTGAATTCCAAATAAATAATTTTCACTCTTTGAACATTTCATCTTTTACTTTTTAGCACCAACAGACTTGATAACAGCCTGATGCTGATCTGACAATGGGCTGACAACCTTCCCCTACTGGCCCTTCAGTCTGCTTAATAACAAGTCCTTTGCTTCTGTCATTCTCCTGGGATGGATGGCTACTGCCCTCCTTTCTGAACAATCTGGGCAAATCGACTGGTGATGGCAAGAGTGGTGTCAATGAAGCGGTCTACACAGCTGGAGAGACAGTTTTCAGTGCGAGAATCTAGGCGATTCCCTGGCTTCTCCACACACTTATCCCAACATAGTTCCATGAAATGATGCACCTAAGACGAAAGAAAAACAGTAACCATTGGGGTCTGCAGATAGGCCTAACTCTTGTTTATTAACTTATTTTTGACGCCTGACAAACTAGTCTTTAAATCAACCACGGAGTCACTTAGGGCTCTTCTCTTTATTTCCTAAGTAGTCACCAATATTGATGCAGATCCTCATCCCTACAGATTGTACATTCCTCAGATAGGACTAATAACCTTTCATATTCCCCAAAGCAGCTAGCACCAGTGTGGACAAACTAGGGAACAAATTCATTTCCCCAGACTATTGGATTCATCTCATTCCAAACCTATCCCCTAGAGAAGGTAATTCTTCCATTAACCTTCTGGAGGTTATGGATCCACTCCCCCCCCTACAAAATGCACACACTGGCACAGAAATTACGTGCACTTTCTTTTCTTTTTTGAGACAGGAGTTTTCGCTCATTACTCAGGCTGGAGTGCAATGGCGCGATCTCGGCTCACCGCAACTTCCGCCTCCTGGGTTCAAGCAATTCTCCTGCCTCAGGCTCCCGAGTAGCTGGGATTACAGGCACGTGCCACCATGCCCAGCTAATTTTTTGTATTTTTAGTAGAGACGGGGTTTCACCATGTTGACCAGGATGGTCTCGATCTCTCGACCTTGTGATCCACCCGCCTCGGCCTCCCAAAGTGCTGGGATTACAGGCTTGAGCCACCGCGCCCGGCCATTACGTGCACTTTCTTTAGAATGTTCAGGATTCAAAGATTTCTAGCCAGGGTTCTTGCTGCTTATCCTCCGAGCACCCTCCTCCTCCCACCCAAAAGGGAGAAAATAACCATTCTACCAAGAGCTTACTATTTGTGAGGCTGGGTACTAAGAAGTCAGTTCTCTCTAACGTCTTCAAGGATAGCTGTCATCACCTCCCATTTAAGAGGCGTGATTATGTAGTCCAAGGTCATGTAGCCAGGCGGGTTAAAACCATGCCCGAAGGGCTCCAAACCCTTGTTCTAAATCCATAGTCTACAGCGACTACTTCAGAGTCCACCTTTCTCCAATAATGTTCTAGTGCTCCATCGTTTTCAAATACATCGTCGCACATGATCCTCACAATCCAGTGAGGCAGTGAGGTGACGGTGAAACCAAAACCCACAGCTAGATGGGTATCTTTTCTACGGGCACGTGGCCTGCAAGGAGCAGAGGGAGGATGAGAACCCAGATCTTCCAAATGCCAGTCTAGTCACGTCGCCGGCTAACTAGGCTCCCGTACCCTTGCGTCGCCCAAATTTTCTTCCCTGCTTTACACCTCTTTTCTCCACGCTGTGCTTACATAGCCGGCACCCGAGCACTACCGACCACCAGGGACAGGAGGGACACGATTTGTCTTTTGTGAGAAGAGTGGGATGCAGCCGGGATCGAGAACCAGGTTGCTTCACTGAGCCGCCTGTGTACAGACTTCCGAGCGTGCCCAGGACCAGCATTTCACCTTCCTTTCCCTTCACCCTCCCCGTCCCCGCACCTGTGCAGTAAACTGCGCCTTCTGCTGTTCCGCAGCCACCAAGCGTTGCAATTCCGCTTCATCGGCTTCACCTAGATCCGCCATTGTCCGCCTCAGGCTCCGCACCTTCCGACAACCGTGTTTGCGCATGCGCGACGGGTGTACACCGCCTCTCGACTTCCTGTTCACCCAGCCTCTCGACTTCCGGTTCATCCAGCATTTTCCTCCTCCCCGTTTTCTTTCGTCGTCGTGGGTGGGAGTTGTCTCCTAATTGCTTCCGGGTTGGTGGATGACCTTGAGCCCTCAGGAACGAGATGGCGGTTCTCTGGAGACTGAGTGCTCTTTGCGGTGCCCAAGGAGGCCGAGGTGAGGGTTCTTCGCACCCTGAGGTGCGTAGCGCAGCTTCCAGCCAGGGAAGGGGATGGAGGTGAGGACTCATCTGCCAGGTGGGAGGTCTCTTGAGGAGAGGAGAATCCCGAAATCCCAGCAATGACTACTGTAGTCTAGGGGTCCAGATGTTTACCCTAACGTGTATTTCACTTGCTGTGAGCTGACGAGTTGACGGAATAATCAGAAAGAGCTCCCTCTGGAAGTTGCAGTCTGATGAGACTAATCCACATAGGAGTTCTGTTTTCTCCCCGTTCACTGTCCCTAGAATGCTCCCCACTCGCTCTCACCCTGAATCGGGAAAGAGGTTTAGGATCTTGCGCATCTCCCCAGGAGTTGGTGTTTTTATGTGTGGGAGTGGAGAGGGATCCGTTCGAAAATCATTTAACCTGGGCATTTGTGTTACCGCAGACACTGTAGTAATACTGGGATGCAAATGTGAAGAAAACGTAGGTCCTGTCCTCAAAGAGCTTTCGTTCTGATGAAAACACTGTCATAGTAGTCCAGGCAAGATGAGGTCCTGAACTAGGAAACTGGGACAAAGAAAAGAAGATTGTCTCAAGAAATGTTAAAGAGATATGCCAATAGGATTTGGCAAATGAATTTAGGAGCAAAGTCTCTCATGACTTCCAGATTACTGAGTTAGGTTAACGAATGCCTGAAATGTCGTTAAATAAAGTAGGGAACCTACAAATGTTCGTTCCCTAGTCTAACTTCACAGTAACTCCAGTGAAATAGATGCTGTCTTTATTTTACAAATGAGGTGTTATCCCCCATTTAGGTTTAAGTCGCTTGCCTGTGGTCATTTAGAAAGTTTGTCAGTCCTGTTAAAGGAGAGGTTCTTATGATCATCCTAATGACTCTTTCCTCAGCTCTGTTGCTGCGAACTTCAGTGGTCAGACCTGCTCATATTTCAGCATTTCTTCAGGACCAACCTACCCCAGAATGGTGTGGAGTGCAGCACATTCACTTGTCACCGAGTCACCATAGTATGTTCTCTCCATCGCTGCTGCTTTCTGGGCTCTAGCCATCTTTACCTGGACTAATTGTCATGCTTTTAGCAGGACTTCCTAAATGTAGGGGGACTCTTGTGTCCAAAGCTGTCAAATGAAGACCCTGTTTACACCTTTGGGCAGACAGTGCCATTATGGTTGAATGATGCCATTTATAATCATAGAGGACCTTATAGCCTAAGTCTTTAAAAAAATTTTTTTTTTTTTTTTTTTTTTGAGAGGAGTCTCACTCTGTCACCCAGGCTAGAGTGCAGTGGTGCGATCTTGGCTCACTGCAGTCTCCACCTCCCAGGTTCAAGCAGTTCTCCTGCCTCAGCCTCCTGAGTAGCTGGCATTACAGGTGCCCACCACCACACTAATTTTTGTATTTTTAGTATTTTGTATTTTAGAGACGACGTTTCACCATGTTGGCCAAGCAGGTCTTAAACTCCTGACCTCCAGTGATCCACCCACCTTGGCCTCCCAAAGTGCTAGGATTACAGGCATGAGCCACTGTTCCTGGCCCACTGACTCACTGACTTACATTCTTAAGGTATCTGTCCACTTCACTGAACCAAGACTGACTTAATTCTTTTTTTTTTTTGAGATGGAATCTCACTCTGACACCCAGGCTGGAGTGCAGCAATGTAATCTTGGCTCACTACAACCTTCACCTCCCGGGTTCAAGCAATTCTCCTGCCTCAGCCTCCTGGGTAGCTGTGATTACAGGCGTGTACCACCACACCTGGCTAATTTTTGTATTTTTAGTAGAGACAGGATTTCGCCATGTTGGTCAGGCTGATCTCGAACGCCTGACCTCATGATCTGCCCACCTTGGCCTCCCAAAGTGCTGGGATTACAGGCATGAGTCACCATGCCTGGCTGACTGGCTTAATTCTGTAGCAATATTTTATCCATCTTCTTGGATCTGTCTTCTAATTAATATGTAGGCATTAAGATATCCTTGTGCTAAAAGACTTCAAAAAACAGAGAGAGCCTCTCTCTCAACTACTATTTTATTATTTTACTTTCTTTGTACTCAGAGTTATATTCTATATTGTATACCGTCTGTCAGTTTGGGTTACTGCGTGAATATGTTGAATATGAAAGATGTGCTTTTCCCACGTCGACTTTTATGAATCTGGTCCTTTTTGTAGCTGGTTCCAAGGCTGCATCTCTCCACTGGACTAGTGAGAGGGTTGTCAGTGTTTTGCTCCTGGGTCTGCTTCCGGCTGCTTATTTGAATCCTTGCCCTGCGATGGACTATTCTCTGGCTGCAACTCTCACTCTTCATGGTCACTGGCAAGTATAGCAATTTCAAGTATAGTTGTCTGCTTAGTTTGTTTGCTGTGAGCTTGTCTCATGTATTATATATGAGGGAGAAGTTGATTGAAATGCTCTAAATTTGTTGAAAACTTTAAAATATATATAAAATATGTGTATGCCTGGAATTATATATCCATCTGCCTATCGATGTCTTTTAATTTGATTTCCATATCAAACAGTATTTTGAATGTAGCCTGTCAAACTGAGTTTCTGATCTCCCCCAATCTGTTCCTCCTGCACTCTTGCCCATCTGCATTAATGGCATTTCCAGTTTTCTCTTTGTTCAAGTCTAAACCTGGTAAGCTCCAAACTTGGTCATTATCCTTGACTCTAGTAGTCGTCTCCTAACTGGTCCCCTTTGTGTCCATTCCCAACACAGTAGACCCAGTGATCCTATTAAAATGGTAAGTTAGAACAAGACTTTCCCCTTCTCAAAACCCTTTTTTGTCTCTTTATGTTACTCAAAGTCAGAACTCTTAGAGTGGTCTGCAGACTCTACATGATTAAGCCCCCTGTTTCTTCCTTCATTTTTAACAGCTCTCTTATTCACACTGGCTTCCTTGAGATTCCTTGAACATGCCAGGGACATTCCAAGTCTCAGAGCTTTCCTCTTACTGATTCTGCCTGAAACTCTTTTTCTAGCTATACACTTGGCTGTTCTTCATCTCCTTCAGATCTTGAATGTCATTCTCTCAAAAAAGCCTTTCCTAACCACTTACTCAAAATTGCCTTCCCTAACCACTTATTCAAAATTGCAGTTTCTGTCCTGCCATTTCTTCTAATTTATACTACATCATCTATTGATTATTTTGTATAGTAATCGCTTCCTTGCATTTTGTTTTGTCATCCAAATGTATATCGCTAAATAGTATAGCCTTGCCTCTTAAAGAGATATATATATGGGAGGGATATTTTGTTATTTTTACTGTGTTTGTTTGCTATTGTGCCTCTAGGGCCTAGAACTAGTCTCTAGTACCTGATACCTAGTACTCAGTAAATACTTGCAGAATGAATGAGTGTCCAGCATCTGTTTATTTATTTATTTATTGAGACATGGTCTCCTTTGTTGCCCAGGCTGCAGTGCAGTGGCATGGTCTTGGCTCACTGGAACCTCTACCTCCCAGGTTCAAGCGATTCTCCTGCCTCAGCCTCCTGAATAGCGGGGATTACAGGCATATGCCACCACGCCCAGCTAATTTTTGTATTTTTAGTAGAGACAGGGCTTCACCATGTTGTCCAGGCTGGTCTCAAATTCCTGACCTCAAGTAATCCACCCACTTCAACCTCCTAAAGTGCTGGGATTACAGCCCAAGCCACCACATCTGGCCCAGCTTTTGTTTACTTTATCTGATATAGTTTGTATCACTTTCTACATTAATGAACCTTCTAAAAGGAGGATAAATGACCAGTTGGGTTCCTTGAGTTACTGCTTTTAAGTTTTGCAGAGACAGTATGTTGTCATTGGGGGGAGTAAGGAAGCGCTTTCAGATTGTTGAAACTGGAAGGACTTTAGAAAGATCTTAACCAACTATTTTATTTTACAAATGTGGAAACTACAACCCAGGGAGGTTAAGTGACTTGTCAGAATCATTTTCTAGCTAGTGTTAAATGTTTTGTTTTGTTTTGTTTGAGATGGAGTCTCACTCTCACCCAGGCTGGAGTGTAGTGGCGTGATCTTGGCTTACTGCCACCTCCTCCTCCTGGGTTCAAGCAGTTCTCATGCCTCAGCTTCCTGAGTAGCTGGGATTACAGGCACGTGCCAGCACACCTGGCTAATTTTTGTATTTTTAGTAGAGATGGGGTTTCACCACGTTGGCCAGGCTGGTCTTGGACTTGTGACCTCAAGTGATCCACCCACCTTGGCCTCCCAAAGTGCTGGGATTACAGATTACAGGTGTGAGCCACCACACCCAGCCTAAAGGGGTTTTAATTACCTAGTTCTGTAGGACTGGTTAGGAAAATTAGTTTGTTTTTTTTTTTTTAATTGCATTTTAGGTTTTGGGATACATGTGAAGAACATGCAAGATTGTTGCATACGTACACACATGGCAGTGTGGAGTTTTTTTTTTGTTTTTTAACCACATAGACTTTTCCAAATAAAAGACTGTAGTTGAATATGAAATATTAGATTACAAGTACAGTAAGTAATATTTCTCTAACATGTGATCCATCTTGAAGGAGCTGCCTATATTGTGCTCCACTTTCTCAACATTCAGTGCTAATTGGGGTCCTGTCCCAACTATATAACTTAGGTCATTCTTACAGAGGGCACTAAAGATGTTCATCGTTCCAAATCTGGTTGTCTATTCTCTGTCCTTCATTTGCTTGAAGTCTCAGCAGCCTTCAACTCAATTAACAATTCTCCCCCAAGTCATTTTTCTTTGGCTTTCCAGATGCATAGAAGTCTCCTCTGCCAGATCCTTCTCCTCTTGTCTGACCTTGGGATGACAGAATCTCCAGGGCTGAGTCATGGCCTTCTTAATTTCTCCATCTTATACCCTTTTTCTAGGTGAGCTCAGATTTGACCTGTTTTTCTGAGTTGCAGACCTGTTTATCTAATTGTCTAAGTGACATCCACTTGGATGTCTGATAGTTATCCGAGATCTAACATTGGCCAAATCACTCTTTTTTCCCCCAAATCACCCTTGATTTCTCCTTTAAAACGCCCTTCTCAGTTAAAGCTGGGCTCAAGCTAAAATTCTTATGAGTCATTCTAGATATTTTTGTTCTTACTCCATGTCTATTCCATCAGCTCTGTTGGTTCTTTCTTTAAAAAATAATCTGAATCGGCTGGGAGCAGTGGCTCATACCTGTAATCCCAGCACTTTGGGAGGCCAATGTGGGTAGATCACAAGGTCAGGAGTTCAAGACCAGCCTGGCCAATATGGTGAGACTTCATCTCTACTAATAATACAAAAATTAGCCAGGTGTGGTGGCACGTGCCTGTAGTCCCAGCTACTGGGAGACTGAGGCAGAAGAATCGCTTGAATCCGGGAGGTGGAGGTTGCAGTGAGCCAAGATCATGCTATTGCACTCCAGCCTGGGTGACAGAGGAAGACTCTGTTTCAAAAAGAAAGAAAGAAAAAATCTGAATTGGGGGTGGAGTGGGGGAAGAGAAAGGAGAGTATTAGGACAAATACCTAATGCATGTAGAGCTTAAAACTAGATGACAGGTTGATAGATGCAGCAAACCACAATGGCACTTGTATACCTTTGTAACAAACCTGCATGGTCAGCACGTGTATCCCAGAAGTTAAAGTAAAAGAAAAAAAAATAGACATTATTTAAAAAAAAAATAGTATGAATTGTCACTTTACACCCTGTTACCAGCCTAGGTTAAGCCAGCAGTCTCACCTAGGCTACTTCAGTTGCCTTCTAACTAGTTTCCTGTTTCAATTGCTGTTCTGGTCACTACCCACCCCACCTCCCCCATACTGTTCATTCACCACAATACAGCCATAGTGACCTTTTTAAAATGTAAAATTATATTTCTCCAAAGTAGATATACAAATAGCCAATAGGCACATGAGATATTGCTCAGCCTCATTTGTCATTAGAGAAATGCAAATCAAAACCACAGTGAGATACCACCTCATACCCCATTAGGATGGCTGTAATGAAAGATGGACAGTTAGAAGTGTTGCTGAGAACTTGGAGAAATTGGAACCCTTGTGGTTCTGTTGGGAACGTAAAATGTTTCATCACTTTGGAAAACATCCTGGCAGTTACAACAAAAAGTTAACCTTAGAGTTACCATGCCATTTGGCGATCTGCTTTTAGGTGTATACCCAAGAGAATTGAAAATGTGTCCACACAAAAAAACTTTCACAGGAATGATCATAGCATTTTTTTTTTGAGACAGAGTTTCACTCTTTTTGCCCAGGCTGGAGTGCAATGGCACAATCAAAGCTCACTGCAACCTCCTCCTCCCAGTCCCAAGCAACTCTTCTACCTCAGTCTCCTGAGTAGTTGGGATTATAGGTGTGTGCCACTGTACCTGGCTAATTTTGTATTTTTAGCAGAGGTGGGGTTTCACCATGTTGGCCAAACTGGTCTTGAACTCCCAACCTCATACGATCCTGCCTCAGCCTTCCAAAGCACTGGGATTACAGGCGCGAGCCACCATGCCCAGCCCAACAGCATTACTTATAATAACCAAAGAGTGGAAATAATCCAAATGCTTTTCAGCGTATGAATAGCTAAACAAATTATGGTGTATTCATGTAATAAAATATCATTCAGCCATTCAAAGGAATGCTCTATTGATATATGCTATGACATGGATGAACATTGAAAACATTATGCTAAGTTGACACAAAGGCCATATATTGTATGACTTCTTATATATGAAATGTCCAGAATAGGCAAATCCATAGAGACAGAAAGTAAATTTGTAGTTAGGTAGTGGGGTAATAGGTAGAAGGTTTCTTTTTGGGGTGATGAGAATGTTCTGGAATTAAATAATGATGATTGTACAACTCAATATACTAAAAACTACTGGATTATATACTAAAAAGGGTGAAATTTTTATGGTATGTGACTTACATTTCAATAAAACTGTTATAAAAATAGCAAAATTAGGTCACACTTACCTAGGGCACTCCCTGCTTAAAACCTATCAGTGGTTTCCTATTATATTTCATATAAAATTCAGATTCCATATCACGACCTTCAAGATCCTATGCAACCGGCCTCTGCCTTCCTCTGATCTCTCCTTCAACTGTGTGCTCCAGCCATCTTACTATTCATTAGAGATGCCACTTTTGTTTGGAAGTTCTCACTCATTCACGTCTTCCTTTCTAAAATGTTTCTTCATAGTACAGATACATTTATTTTTTCTTTCTCATTCACTAGTATATTTGTTCCATAAAGGCAGGGATGCTCTCTCACTTACTATATTTATGACAGATTCTGGTGCATAATAGCTACTTAATAAATTCTTTTTGAATCAACTAATAATGCTGTAGGGTTTTAGTTATTTTTGGTCATTGAGGTGAGAGGATCACTTGCAGCCAAGAGTTCAAGACCAGCCGGGGCATCATAGTGAGACTGCATCTCTAAAGAAATGAAAAACTGAGGCCGGGCGCGGTGGCTCAAGCCTGTAATGCCAGCACTTTGGGAGGCCAAGGCGGGTGGATCACGAGGTCAAGAGATCGAGACCATCCTGGTCCACATGGTGAAACCCCGTCTCTACTAAAAATACAAAAAAATTAGCTGGGCATGGTGGCGTGTGCCTGTAATCCCAGCTACTCAGGAGGCTGAAGCAGGAGAATTGCCTGAACCCAGGAGGCGGAGGTTGCGGTGAGCCGAGATCGTGCCATTGCACTCCAGCCTGGGTAACAAGAGTGAAACTCCATCTCAAAAAAAAAAAAAAAAAAAAAAGAAATGAAAAACTGGCCAGGTGTGGCTCATGCCTGTAATCCCAGCACTTCGGGAGGCCAAGGTGGGCGGATCACCTGAGGTCAGGAGTTTGAGACCAGGCTGGCCACCATGGTGAAACCCCGTCTCTACTAGAAGTACAAAAATTAGCTGGGCATGGTGGCGGGTGCCTATAATCCCAGCTACTCAGGAGGCTGAGGCAGGAGAATTGCTTGAACCTGGGAGAGAGGGGTTGCAGTGAGCCAAGATCACGGGACTGCACTCTAGCCTGGATGACACAGCGAGACTCTGTCTCAAAAAAAAGAAAGAAAAAACAATTAGCTGGGCATGGAGGCATGCTCCCATAGTCTCAGCTACTTGGGAGGCTGAGGCGAGAGGACCACTTGAGCTCAGGAGTTCGAGGCTGCAGTGTGGGCAACAGAGTAAGACCTTGTCTCTAAAAAAAAAAAAAAGTCACTAGAAATCAACTGACTGACAAAAAAAAAAAAAAATAGAAGGCTGTACAGAATTCCTTAAAGAAGCAAACAGTGCTGTGGAGTGGCAGATAAAGACACTGCATTTGAACTTGACAGATTATTTTTTTTGTAGCCAAGTTATCTGTATAGTCTAATTTCACTGTGGTTTTTCATTGATGTTTTGATGTTTTCTTTTTCTTTAGGGGCCTTGGACAAGTTGTTACTGACTATGTTCATGGGGATGCCTCGCAGAAAGCTGCCAAGGCAGGGCTTTTGGCACTTTCAGCTTTAACCTTTGCTGGGCTTTGCTATTTCAACTATCACGATGTGGGCATCTGCAAAGCTGTTGCCATGCTGTGGAAGCTCTGACCTTTTTGACTTCATACTTTGAAGAATTGATGTATGCCTCTTTGCCTCTGCTTTGTCATGTCATTCAGCTCACAGTAAGGAAGAAATAAATAAGTCTATTGGTGGACAGGCTTCTTCTCTTAATCTTTGAGGAAAAGGTTTGAGAGGAATTATGTCTAAGAAATTGTGAGTCTGAGTTCTGTATTCTGGTGAGTAAATGGGGTTGCCGCCCAGCTTCTCATAAGACTCACAGTATAACTAAACATGATATATGAGCTTTTGCCTTTTAATTTATCAATCTCTTAAAAGAGAATCCAGCTTTATTACTATTAATATGTGATCAAACTTCTTTTTTGCCTTGGAAATAATGGACAAAGGGAAATACCATTAATTCATGAATAAAAACTTTGCAGAAAATTAGACAGTGTTTATTTTTGAAAACTTCCCTCTCTATTCAGTAGATACCACCTACTGATGGATACATATAATAGGGAAATTTTAAAATTTGGAAATGCTGGTATCTCATATTATAAATTTCTAAATTCTAGGAAGAGAAGCTTGTAGTACTTCTAAATATAGAGAAGTTCCATTTAAGGGCAAAGTTCCCCTTGTAGACATATCAAAATATTACAAATTCTAAATTGAGACTTAATTCTCAAATGTGTTCTACTTGTTCTAAAACAGTCTGTCCACAAATATAAAACTGTAAGTAATATATGGTTATTTTCACACTATGGGAATCTCTAATGTGAAAATGTATTCTATGAAAATAATTTTTTAAAAAATAAAATGTATAATAAAAATGTATTCTATGCTTTTATATATTAGCTGTCACTAGTTTTATTCATTAGAATTAGGTGTCTGTTGCATCCACAGCATGAAAACAAAACTGCATGTTTAAATTTCCTTGGGGCTTAGCAGTTAGGTAAATCAGACACAAAGTACTGGAAAACAAAAGGACTTAGAAGTTATAGGCAGAAATATACCAAGTATAAATAGTTTGGTATAAATGAGAGTATAAGATTTAGTAGTAGGAATAAGAGTTATGTCCAGTTTATGGTGTTCTGTGAATACCAGCCTTTGGAATTCAAATTATATTCTATGTGTATTTAGTCTGGTCTAAGAGTTGAGTGTAAGGCATGATGCTTTCTTCTTTTTTTTTTTTTTTTTGAGACGGAGTTTCGCTCTTGTTAACCAGGCTGGAGTGCAATGGCGCGATCTCGGCTCACCGCAACCTCCGCCTCCTGGGTTCAGGCAATTCTCCTGCCTCAGCCTCCTGAGTAGCTGGGATTACAGGCACCAGCCATCATGCCCAGCTAATTTTTTGTATTTTTAGTAGAGACGGGGTTTCACCAAGTTGACCAGGATGGTCTCGATCTCTTGACCTCGTGATCCACCCGCCTCGGCCTCCCAAAGTGCTGGGATTACAGGCTTGAGCCACCGCGCCCGGCGATGCTTTCTTCTAACAATATAGAGTAACTGGGACTTAGCACGTTTCACTCACCAAGGACCTTACTGGGAAGCTGAGGCAAATGAAGAATATGTGTTCATGAATGTGTACTAAGGGTGAAAGACATGCTCTCCTTAATGTGCCTGTGGTCTTGTCAGAGACTCAAGTGTGCATTAAGGGTTTAGGAAGAGGTGATTAATTCTGTTTCGGGGTGGGTAAGAAAGGCAGTGATGCCTAAATAGCCATGGCATACCAACAGATAGTGGTGGTGGGACCAGTCCATCCTGATGGGAGAGAATATATAAATATTATTCTGACATTGTTTAGAATTGCTGATGCTTGATAATGATAAAAAGCAAATTGACTAAAAGTCAATTGTATTGTTTTAAAATTCTCTATAGACAATGGATCCCCTCCCCACCTTGTAGTGTCATTGCTTCCCTCCCCTAGCTCTCAGTATGCCACTGTTGCAGAGTGGAGAGATGAAATGGAGTCTTCCATGAAGTCAAAACGGGGATGGCAGTGACTCTGGACAATATGGGAATCCTGTAGCTATCTCCAATACCATCAGATCTAATACCATCAGATCCTAGATAGAGAAGGCTGTCTCGTGGTAATAAGCTTCATTAGATGGTGAACAGAGAAGTTTGAGTGGAGGCTGGTTGAGTACTGCCTGCCCCATGTCCCAGGTGGTTTGGTTATTAGGGTGGAGCTGAGCTGTCTTTGGGAAATCAGTAGGTTGCTATGAACTGCTAGAAAATGAGGCAAGATTCAGGAAGGGTGCTGTGGCTCATGCTTGTAATCTCAGCATTTTGGGAGGCTAAGGCAGTAGGACTGCTTGAGGCCAGGAGTTTAAAACCAGCATGGGCAATATAACAAGACCCTGTCTCTACAAAAATGCAATCAAACAAACAAAAAGATTAGCCAGGCATCATTAGCAGTGGCATGTGCCTGTAGTTCTAGCTACTTGGGAGGCTGAGGTGGGAGAATTGTTTGAACCCAGGAGTTTGAGGTTACAATGAGCTATGATCACACTACTGCATTCCAGCTTAGGTGACAGAGTGAGACCTTGTCTCTTTAAAAAAGAAAAAAAGCCAAGGGCTAACAGCGATAGCAGTTTCTGAAGGTAAGCAGGACATGATCAGAACTGTGCTTTAGAAATAATTTGGGTTTCATTAGGTGGGTTAATAAGCTAGAGGCAGAAAAACATATGAGGGAATAGAGACAATAAAGGGCCTGAACTTTGAGAGTAGCAGTGGAGGGAGGAGTCAATCTCAAAAGGTACTGTAGAAGTCAAAATCATTAATTTATTCATTTGATAGATACTAATAATCAGCACTGTGCCAGGTACTGGAGATAAAGATAAAATTTTACCTGCCTTTGAAGGGAATTCATAGTGTAATTGGGGCAGTAGAAGAATGATTGCAAGACAGTGTAGAAAGGGCAGTAATAGTGAAGCACATCATGTGCTGTGATGTAACAAAGGGTGCAGTAAGAATTTGCCTGCAAGTTTCCTAGAAGAGAAGTTTGTCTGCAAGTTTCCTGGAAGAAAAGATTTGTAACCTGGGTTCTGAAAGGAGCTGACACTGGCCAGGGAAGCTGGGGTGAGGTGTGGGGTTGGCTGGAGGATGGCAGATCAAGGAAAAGATGATATGTAATTTGGCATGACCCAGCAGAGGGAGGGACTGATTGTAGAGGACCCTATGACCCTATATGCTATGATAAATAATTGAGACTTAATTTACTATTTTTTTTTGAGACAGGGTGTGGCTCCATGGCCCAGGCTGGAGTGTAGTGGCACGATCTCAGCTCACTGAAACCTTTGCCTCCCATACTCAAGATATCCTCCCACCTCAGCCTCTTGAGTAGCTGGGACTACAGGCACATGCCACCATCCCTGGCTAATTTTTGTATTTTTTATAGAGATGGGGTCTTGCTCTGTTGCCCAGGCTGATCTCAAACTCCTGACCTCAAGTGATTCAACCACCTCAGCCTCCCAAAGTGCTGGGATTTCAGGCATGAGCCACTCTGTGTCTGACCTGAGACTTTATCTTGACAGCAATAAGGAGTCACTGAAGACTTAATTATGCAAATGGCATGATCCAATTTTTATTTTATTTTATTTTATTTTATTTTATTTTTGAGATGAAGTCTTGGTCTGTCACCCAGGGTAGAGTGCAGTGGCACAATCTTGGTTCACTGCAACTTCCACCTCCCAGGTTCAAGCGATTCTCCTGCCTCAGTCTCCTGAGTAGTTGGGATTACAGGTGCCCACCACCACACCTGGCTAATTTTTTGACTTTTTGGTAGAGACAGGGTTTCACTGTGTTAGCCAGGATGGTCTTGATCTCCTGATGTCATAATCCGCCTGCCTTGGCCTCCCAAAGTGCTGGAATTACAGGCGTAAGCAACCATGCCCAGCCCCAACTTTTATTTTAAATAGGGTTTTGCTGACGGCTGTGTAAATAATGGATTTTAAGTCGGGTTTTGCTGATGGCTATATGAAGTATGGAAACAGATTATTTTAGTGACCCAGAAAAGAAATAATGAATTGTGAAGGCAACTGTAGCTTGAATGAAGGAGAGAACAAATTTAAGAGATATTTAAAATTTACAGTCAATGAGAGTTATACTAAGATGTGAAAGCTTGAGTGAGGAAGGAGCCTTTGCTCAATTTTTTGTTATAAATAGGTAGGTGGGAGGTAGTGTCAGAGAAAAATGTTGAAGGAAAATTTGATACAGTAGTGGAATCAGTAACTACTGAAGTTTCGGATTTGTGAGACAGCTAGGAAGAGATAGAATTTGTAGACTTCTATTTTTGGCAATATGGCAGACTCAATTTTAGAAAGTATTTACTTTCATACGAAGCCTGTAAGAATGTTAAATAAGAACACATTTAAAAAATTTATTTATTTATTTATTTGAGACGGAGTTTTGCTCTTATTGCCTAGGCTAGAGTGCAATGGTGCAATCTCAGCTCACTACAATCTCCACCTCCCAGATTCAAGTGATTCTCCTGTCTCAACCTCCCGAGTAGCTGGGATTACAGATGCCCACCACCACGCCTGGCTAATTTTTGTGTGTGTGTGTGTGTTTTTTTTTTTTTTTGAGGCGGAGTTTCGCTCTTGTTACCGAGGCTGGAGTGCAATGGCGTGATCTCGGCTCACCGCAACCTCTGCCTCCTGGGTTCAGGCAATTCTCCTGCCTCAGCCTCCTGAGTAGCTGAGATTACAGGCACACGCCACCATGCCCAGCTAATGTTTTGTATTTGTAGTAGAGACGGGGTTTCACTATATTGACCAGGATGGTCTCGATTTCTTGACCTCATGATCCACCCACCTCGGCCTCCCAAAGTGCTGGGATTACAGGCGTGAGCCACCGCGCCTGGCCAATTTTTGTATTTTGTTCTTTTTTTTAAAAAACTTTTTTTTTTTTTTTTTTGAGATGGAGTTTTGCTCTTGTTACCCAGGCTGGAGTGCAATGGCACGATCTCGGCTCACTGTAACCTCTGCCTCCTGGGTTCAGGCAATTCTCCTGCCTCAGCCTCCTGAGCAGCTGGGATTACAGGCACGCACCACCATGCCCAGCTAATTTTTTTTTTTAATTTTTAGTAGAGACGGGTTTTCACCATGTTGACCAGGATGGTCTCGATCTCTTGACCTCGTTATCTACCCGCCTCGGCCTCCCAAAGTGCTGGGATTACAGGCTTGAGCCACCGCACCCGGCTGTATTTTGTTCTTTTAGTAGATATGGGGTTTTAGCCATGTTAGCCAGGCTGGTCTCAAACTCCTGACCTTAGGTGATCTGCCCATCTTGGCCTCCCAATGTGTTGTGATTACTTTGGTCTGGCTCCAGAGGATTTCTTTTTGGCTGGGGACCAGGCCAAAACATATTTAGTTTGCAAAAAGAAATCCTCTGGAGACAGACCAAAGTAAGCCCGCAGTTAGGGAGGTAAACAAGTGCTTAGGGTATCAGTTGCCCTAAGAGCATCTACTAAGCAGGTGGCCCAGAGTTCTAGTCTTTTTTTTTTCTTTTTGAGACAGAATCTTGCTCTGTTGCCCAGGCTCCTGTGCCCAAGTGATCCTCTCACCTCAGCCTCCTGAGAGTAGCTGAGATTGTGCCATCATGCCTGGCTAATGTTTTTTGTGTTTTTTGTCTTTTGAGACGGAGTTTCGCTCTTGTTACCCAGGCTGGAGTGCAATGGCGCGATCTCGGCTCACCGCAACCTCCGCCTCCTGGGTTCAAGCAATTCTCCTGCCTCAGCTTCCTGAGTAGCTGGGATTACAGGCACGCACCACCACGCCCAGCTAGTTTTTTGTATTTTTAGTAGAGACGGGGTTTCACCATGTTGACC